TGGAAGAAAAGAATTAAAAAGCTCCCACAGACACACATACGTCATTCTCCCCCTCAAAAAAGCAGTACTAGCACATGCATTTGGACTAAGGGAAAAAAGACTTACATTCAATTGTGGAACCTAAAAATTAAATTCTACCCTTCAAAACCCCATCTTTGTGGAACTCTTTTTCTTGCCTATGCAAGGGTCTAGATACATTACCTTCAGCTAGTAGTTCAATCTATTATGAGCATCCTGTTGTGGATTTCATCACATTGTTCCTTTATTTAAAAGTAATGTTTTGTGTACAAAGATCCAGAAATATGCACTCAGCACCTCAAACAAGTTTTAGAAATCCGAAGAAGAATTATATAACCAGAACCTACCCACCCCCTAGAAAGCACAATCTAACACCTTCACTCAATACAATAACCCAGCACAGTCACACTGTTTTGTCCTTTCAGTTCAACAAGAAGCAAAACATTACAAAAATAATGCTTTGTGAAACACTGTTGCCTTCTAAATCTATTCATCTTGTGGATTTAGATTAGAACCACAATGCAACATAAACCAAATAAATTAAGCCACATCAGATTAGAGCCGGATGCCTGAAAGCTATGTTCTCCATTCACTCTCTCCTTATATACCAACCATTCAAAGAGACAGAACTGAAGTTATTGGAGGAGACATTGTATAAAGCTATTTGGAAGACACTAATGTACCAACGCTTACGCACTAAATTTGAAATGGCCATTTTGTACCTGGTTTATATGTTTTATATGCTTTCTACCACAGTATATTTATATGGGAAGTTGCTCTGCCCTTTTGGCTTCTGCCTGACCTGATGGAAGAAAAGGAAGTATCCTGTGAACAGAAAATGAATCCACTCTGATGTCTCTCACTGACAGTTTCCCAGTGCATTCCCTCCTTCCATCTTCACAGCAGTCACAGCTTTACCTTGATCACCCCCATGACATTTAAGTGTAAAATGAATGGTTTACGATCTAATGCTGAATCACCATGTATAATTCACCCCTCATGCTTTTAAAAATGAAGCATTTATTGTTTTTGTTGTATATCACAACTAATAAGGAAATGAGAGGGCCACAATGCAAAAAACCAAACATCAGAAATGGGTGGAATGTGTCTACTGCTTAGTCCCACTAGAATTGCTCAAAGATCTGTGAAGAGATGAGCTTTCAGTTTCTTTAGCCCACTGCTACTCCTTGCCCATAGAAACAGAACATATAACAAATGGTGCACTGTCAAAAATTAGGCAAGGGTTAATAGTTCACGATAGCATCCAGGGATTCTAGTAAGAGCTGGCAAAGGACATAAACCATGCTTTCGCTGGAACCGGAACAATAGTTACCAAAAAGCATGATTTGATATGACATCTGAAACAAACTTAGGCTCAATTTTGATGTAAGACATGGTGAGGCTCACTTGCATGTCCTTGAAGAAAGAAGCATCTTTAGGCAGGATAATCAAGGCTAAAGTAAAAGAGTGGAAAGAGGCAACTGGCCAGTACAGCAACAACTAGGATGTTTTCTGGGAATGGTGGTGGCAACCGTTAATATAAATGGGCTGGGTCTACTTTACAAGATGCTTGGAGCACATCTTTTACAGGGTCATGTCTAGGTTCATGGGACACTGATGGCTGAAGCAAATGAGGCAAAAAAGGAAGGCTGTGTGTCAAATATCTAGCA